ATATTTTTTCGATTCAACCACCGGAAGGCTTATTGGAATCGGGTGAAACAAACAAATTCACGAAGCCGTTTCGATATCAGAAGGGTTAGTATGGGCCAATGGAGATGAAGTTCAATATCGTTTCCTGGATTGATCCGTATACGGTTAACCACCGAGCAGTCAAATGTGCTGTCCTGTTAAACTTTGTGGGGCATTACCTGTGGAAAAGTATCCACTAATTAGGACTTTGAATCAACACTTTGCGTCGTAACCAATTGTCTTCCATTCCTAGCCGGTGTACGTTTCAAAGCGTAACTTATTACGTGCTGTTAGGTTACTGGTTGAAATATGGGCTTGCACGTGCGAGATGGCCTTTGCAAATACGAATTGTGTGAGTCCGTTCGTGGTCATGTGTGATCTAGGGGCTTTTGAATAGAAGAATGGTGGTGTGACATTGCCGGTGGCGTTCTACTGCAGTTTTCATGTACAGTACGGCCTATATATCGTGTACTATGCCAACATATGTGAAAGATGTAATACTGTTGATCGTGCGGTCAATTCTTAGATCATTATAGTCCCTATATGATGCTGGCTTTTTAACGGACTTCGTTCTGGCCGCTTACACATCGTATGTACTGTAAAAATTGGTTATGCAAATAGTATGCATTTTACCACTGATTTTGACTGCCTTGATAAATTCAAATGCATTTTATGGAAGAATTAAACGAAAAAAAGTTCTTGTTCGCGTTTGGTAGTTGATTACGCCTTCGTTAAATGTTATACTTAAGGGAAGCGTATCGTTCGGTTTTGAAAAGGTTTCTTATTATGATCTCTTCTACGATTTTGAGGTGTTCATTCGATATACATGACATCCGTCAAATTATCAATGGTGTATATCATGTATACAGGATTTTCCACATATGTCACGATACCATATGAGAACTATGTGACTTCTTGCTCAAACCATAGGGGCAGACGTGCTTTTCCTTAAAGAAGGTATACACAGCGCGCCGTCAAATAAACCTTGAATTCAAGTGTAGCTTTCGCTATGTATGAAATTTAAAGATGGCGTAATTTTCTACCCAAAGAATACAATAAATAATTTTTTCGTGCATGTTTTCCATAAAATGTACTTGAATTGATAAAGACAGTCAAAATTAATGGTAACAATGTCCACTACTTATGTAGCCACTTTTACCAGTAAATACGTTTTGTTAGCGGTCAGAAAGAAGCTCGTTAATAGGCCGGCATCTTATCGTTGCTGACATAACGTCAGAATATACTACACGATAATCAGTATTTCAACTTTACTCAATGCCGATTAGCGAAAGAGCATATATCTGTCGCAGATTTTGGCATACTGCACGAATTCTAGACCGTACTGTAGATGTTTTTGGCCTAACCGGCCTATGCGGTTCGAGTGAATGTGCAGACAGCTGAGATAGCTGCGGTGGCTGTATGCGGTGCTTGGTAGACTCTG